AGAGAAAAACAATAGTAACAACAAAAATTACAATATGAGCTCTGGTGAAAATATGATTTGATAAAAGCAACAAATCTAAATATGAGAACTACTAAAAACATGGTTGCTGAGACATTAGGTTTATAATACTCAGAAATTCAAACAGATGTCCTCAAGGAGACATGGCACAGTGGATAAAGGCGTTGGTTAGATCCAGTGACAGGAGTGAGTTCAATGCCCGGTTAAGGCAATGGAGAACTTGGAACTGATAACTGGCATCCTTACGTGGAACTAGAACAGTTCGACATTCCAACATATTTATGATGAGGACAATAGTCCGAATAATGTAAATAATGTACATAATACCTCATCTCAGAAATATAGACATATACTAAAAGGCCGAGAAATGTTCATAGAAAATATGCGTCCTCCGACACGAATCGAACCAATATATATCCTGATGTGCTTTTACCGATTGAGCCACAGGGTAGCGTTACGGCTAGCAAGGTCGATTTTTATTGTTTTTAAAATTCTCCTCTTTGGCTCCAGCGGTAAAAGCACGCCAGGCTATATGACGCTTCCATATAGGATACAAGTTTTATTTCTGTCGGAGGATGCATATTTTCTATGAAATTTTCTCGCACATTCAGGTCATTTGATGTTTTGATTATGTGAGAGGAATTATTTCTATCCGAGTGTGTTTTTTTTTTATTCTAATAGGGGCGTTAATTCCGAGCCTTGAAAATGGAGATGTTGGAGATGTTTGATGTCTGTTATATTTTAAATAAGTTGCTGAATCTAGAGTGACTTTTATGTATATACTTGTATAAGAAATGGACAAAGTCAGACACTTATTTTTAAGACATTTTTTTTGTTTATACGTTCTTTTTATAGATACAAATATTTAAGTAAATGCTCTGTTTATATCGAGCTTAAATTAAAATGTGACTAGACAAGAAAAACAATGCGAAAATATTTACGAACAAAATTTTAAAACTATTATGTTGTATGTAAAATAATATCCGATTTTAGAAGAAGCCTTTTAATTTTGTTCTAATATATTATTATAATAGTTGCACAAAAATATATTACTTATTCCTAATGATTATTAAAGTGTCCCCTTAATTTGATATCAACCCCTTCATCATTTTACTTAAAACATTATATATCCGTCATATATAAAACATAAGATGCTGAGCGAAGAAGAGGTGCGGGTGATCGCGAGGAAGGGAGAGGAGGATTTCCGACGGCAGCGACGGAGGCCACGGCAGCAGCAACAACAGCAGCGACGCGAATCGCCACCACAGAATATAAAAAAGAAGCAATTCATTTACTTTTTGCATGACGTCAGTATTATTCATAATGTTTCTCAAACTGATGCCAACATTAACAGAACATTGTGTGGATGATCGACTCGTGATCGGACAATACGGCACTCGATTCTGAAGTTCCACAGTGGGGATACGAGCCTTGAAGATCAACGTCATATAGAATGTCCATTCTTAACATCTGAAAACACTACTCGAAATCCACGTTAAAATGTCAGAGAAAGAATAATAAGGGCTCACTATCTGAAAAATATAGGACCATCACAAGAAAATTGGTATGGTGAAAAAACTGTATAAATGTGTTCCACAAGAAATCAGTGAACGTCAACGAGTTCGATGTTTTGAAGCGTGTTCGATGTTACATTTGAAAAATTCAAATGATATATTTTTTGATAGATTAGTGACTTGTAATGAGAAATGGATCCTTTCAATGGCCTGATCATGACGAAGGAGACAAATATTTGCCAAGACTGAAAGTGCACCAACAGAAAATTCTAGTAAATGTTTTGTGATCCTCTATTAGTGTTATCCGTTACAGCTTTCTGGAATTTAACCAGAGCATCACTGCCAATGTTTTCTGCCAGACACTAGATGAAATCAGCATTCAGTTAACCAAACTGGTAACGATCGGTACTGGTTACTCGACTATGCTTCATAATTATGTTCGGCCATCTTTTTCCATGATGGCACTGCCGAATCTCACCAACCGACGAGACTTTGCCACATCTTCCATATTCCGCTGATCTCTCGCCCACTGACTACTACTTATTCAAGTATTATGATAATTTTTAAGCGGAAAGAAGTCCCAAAGAAAATGCCAAAACTACATTCAAAGATTTGTTGGCGCTCAAACCATTAGAATGTTATTGTAAAGGCACAAGTAAACTTGTAACTCAATGAGAGAAATGTTGAGATGTTTAGAAATCGGATTCCACTGATTTAAATACGAATAATTATAAATAATAAATAATTCATGAGTAAAAGTTGATTAAATCATCTTGACAATCTTTTATACCAAAAAAAATTCCGTTCAAAGATACAGAAATTGCATTCAAAGATTTCTTAGCGTCCAAACATTTATTTTATCCAAACATTTTATTCTACAGTAAAGGTATACATAACCTTGCAGCTTCAGAAATGTGTAAATGTAAGAAGATTCGTATTTTGACTGATTTGAACACTGTTTAAATGTATTAATTCAGGAATAAAATTGGACTCTAAAATCAAACATTATTTTCTGAACAACGTAATGAGAAAAAAAGATTTGAGTTGGAGTTGTTCAAACCTCTTTTGCCATGTTTGATAGAGTTATTCGTCATGTTAGGCGGGGGAACTTTGTTTTGTTAGTGTCTATGAAGTATGTCTTCCACCTAAAATTTGACATTATCTCTATGAGAAACTCTTGAATTAAACGTAACCAAAATGTACTGTTTTTAACAAATTGTGGCCAGTGATGAAAGTGGATAATTACAGTAATCAAAAGATGAAGCAAAATCTGTATTAAATATACCAAAGGCTGGATTTCATACAAATAGAATGAGTGTATATGGTAGTATATGAGTTCATTATAGGTCACCAAACGCTTTATTCAAACAAATGTTAAAATCGGACATTATTTTCCGAACAACGTAATGAAAAAAAAATATTTGGCTTGTAATTGCTCAAGCCTTCTTTATCATATTATCCAAGCATCTTGTTTTAGAGTAAAGACAAATATAACTTTGCAACTTCAGAAATGTGTAAGTGTAAGGGAATCATATTTTTACTGATTTAAACACTGTTTAAATACATTAAATCAGGAATAATATTTGATTCTAAAATTGGATGTTATTTTCCGAAAAAACCTAATACTTTGAACGAATAAAAAATAATGTCACTTGAGGTCTTGGGCGGATCTTATTGAATATTATAAATAAATAAATAATCCGGTGTAATTTGTTTATATATGTTTTAAATTTTAAACGAAATCTTATGTAGATTATGAGATTTATTTCACGTCAAAGGAGATAAAATGTGTGTATTAGATTTTCCCCTATGAAATATTGTATATTGTATTTTGATGAAAGACAAAAACAAAACAACACTTTGATTTAATAACCGGTTTACTTCCAAAGTTAGTTTAAGCTATTCATCCCCAAAATATTTCTGTCTTTTGACTTAACAAACTATTTTCAATGCTTCGACTGCTTCTTCAATAAAAGAGAATCTGCTGACTGTGAGCATTTCAATATGAATAACAATAATTTATTGGTGTAATAGGAATACAAGCTATGAAGGCTACTGTGTAAAAATGTAACAAGTTTTAAATGTCCACTCGTCTTTACTGGGATAAATAAACCATTTGTAGGGATTATATTTTTCGTCTAGCACTATGACAAATGGAAGACGCGTATTCTGGCAGTGACTAGTACAGAGAAAGAAGTAATGAGTTTTAATTCGGCTTGGCTCTTCTATAATCTTAACGATCACCGGATTATTACGTCAGCCATATTGGAGACGGTCATTGTTTTCATTCTTCTGTCATGTTCCAAGTTCCTTCATGGCATGGGTGATCATGACTCTCCGCGACTTCCTGTCTTTGTTTATCTAAACAATTATTTACCCTTTACCATCACGGTTTCTCCTTGCTTTTTTTATCCAACCATTCCAACTCGTGTAGGCTACCTGGTGCTTTCCTCTTGTCACTAATATACCCTGCAAGTGTTAAATGCTCTAGGCCCCCTTTCATCAATATCTTGTAAAATCTTCCACATTAGCCTTCCACTCCTTTCGGAAAGATGTCTTCTTCCCTAAAAAAATGCCTTAACCAATCACAACATCGTTTCACTAAATTTAATCTTCTATTGTTTAAGAAACACTAAACAGTAGCAAAGTCGAAACAGATCCTTTTTCCCGCCGAGTTCCCTGGAGCCGATTTGTAGACACCAAAGTCTATATAAACAGTCGCATGACTCAATTCAAGTCAGCCAGTCATCAAATTTCGTGAGATGCTACCAAAATACACGCGGATCAATTCACTGACTCAACATCACTTCAAAATTCTCAACAAACTCAACACAGCACTCAATCGACCATTGCCCGCATGGTAATCAATTACAATTGACTTAAAAATTGAACGTTTTCACTACACAAACAATAATTGTACAATTCATCAATTTAGCCAAACAGTTAAAAGCAAACAACTCTTCACAACTTAAATTCTAACTAACAAGTAACACATGCATACACACTAGTATTTGAATGAACACATTTGAGATTTTTCCTTGCAGAAACCAAATTATTTTAATTTCACTAACAAATCAAAACCATTAACTTTTACTGACCAAATTTCTGCATGAACATTCTTCATAACCTTGTCTCAATTGCCACAATCAACAAACATTCTGTTATCCTTGCATGTATATCTATTGTATATATAAAAATCTCTTTAGTGTTGGATCTCTAACCACTGTGTTTTTAGTAATTTCTTGCAATACAAATTGTCCTTATATTCTTTATTTGATCTACATGTTGTGGGATAATGCATAATAAGCACGCATAATCTTTGCCTTTACATAAATTACCTTCTGATACATTTTCACTCAAGCTACAACCCGCAACAATCTGTCCCTGAATTCTTTGTATATCCATAACACTCTCTTGTTGCTCGTATGTTTAGGACATGGGAAACCTTAATATTCAAGTGGATTAAGGCCACATCCATTTGAAACACCGGTTCTCTTACGATCACCGAAGTTAAGCAATATTGAGATTGGTCTCTACATAGATGAGTGACTGCTTGAGAATACCAGGTGCTGTAAGATTAAATATGCGAGTGGTGAGACAGATAACGACTGGAAATTGGAAGACGGGGTTCTAATTCAACCTACGGCTGCGTTATATTCAGACGCAAATATCTTTGGGAAAGGTATGCACCACCTTTTCCCCAACCATCTATGGATTAATTAGTATCAGTGAATCATTATTATCTGCAAAGAATTGTTACAATCTAAAAATAACTTATGGCTTTAAATAACCTCCAAAGGGGTGATAAGCTGTAAAAAATAGAAACTAGCTTCATCTATAAATAAATTGTGCAGTTTCAGTGCTACATACGGAATTAGATATGATTTAAAAATTCAGGATGATTTTCTTTGTTCCAAATTTTATTTTTCTCTGTCTTAATATTTGGTTTAGTTTCTGAAAGGCATCTTTCGCTATTTTTAAATACATTGGGATTTTTTTGCGAAATTTTCCGTTTTCTGTTCTCACACAAAGAAAATCTCACACTCCGAAGATACTTAAATTTCTGTACCTACTTGATTTTGGCGTTTTATACATTGATCTGTTTGTTTTGTGAAGTTTCATGTTCTCTGTTTCCGAGAGCCTAGTGCTCTATTGACAATTCGACAACGTTGCATCAACAGCCACAATTGTTGTAGAGCAGCTAGCACCCCATTCGGCACTCTGACAGATGTCCTGGCTCATGACCGTAAATAGTCTAGGATTAAGGACTTCAACATTTGATTAATATGTTGATTAATAAGTTGACACTGTGCGAGTCTACCACGCATGAACATACTTACGTACATACAAATACAAACCACATAATCTTTTCTAACACAGCAAATCTTTTAATAACAGTCATTATAAGAGACTCTCATGAATATTATTCCAGTGAACTTTGAAATACTAAAATAACAGATAAAGAGAGACAACTCTTGTTTATTTCAACCTTTTCTTACTTAAATACATGCTTTCTTTCACATCGTTGTTTGATATTGTACATCTTGTTAAATACATATTTTATGTGTAACAATGTCTTTTGCTTATCCTTTTCTGTGTCAGCCCTGTTTGCTAATCTAAAGTTAAATTAATGTGAAGTCCGCTATAATACTAAGCTGATTAATATTCGAACTGATCTTACTTCGTTTGGCTATAAAACACTTGACCCTCCTCTATTCCTTGTAGGTTGTCTTGTTAATTGTTTGGTGACTTATTCTTCTTTTTGTATGTATCCGTTAGGTGAATAAATATAAGCACTCATTCTTCTCTGTGAAGATACAACAATCAACAACAATTGTATACGGTTTATTTTTATCGCTTTATTTTCTTTCTTTGGGGGGGGTTACCTAGTAAGTAACGGTTCTTAGGGAAGAGTGATATAGAGAGAAACAGAGAGGAAGAGTACGCAAATGAATCAGGTAAAGTAAGTACAACATATCTCTTGACCACTTTATGTTTTTTGCTCTTACATCAAAAGTTAGCCTTCGATGGTTTTCGAACCACCACCACTTGAAGTTCTTATCATTACCGTATCCTCTGGGATTAAATTTACTGTAATTGTCATTTGAGATTTTTATCTAACTCACCCATTATGCAACAGAACAACACGTGATTAAAGATTGTAGATTGTAGAACAGCACCTCGACAAAATTCACATTTACCGCTAATCGTTTTGACAGTAATATCTACTAAAAATAGGATATTCAACATCAAGATAAGCTTTTCTCGCGTTCTCTTATCGACCTCTGTGTCAAATTTAATAAGTTTTCACAAAATAAATATTGGTTAGTTAATTCAAATCTCATATCGAATTAACGTTTCATTTCTAGGTTCACGAATGTTGACGGAAATGTTTTGAATACAACTGGGACTAAATGATGTGTCTGCTGTGGAAATTTCTGTAATGTCACTCTAAGAGTGCTAATGATATCGTGTAAACCAGTACAATCTGCCACGCGTATGACGATAAACTAAATCCGCCAGAAAGCCGGCTGATCTTCATCTGGGGTGGTAGTACCTGTTAAGGTCCGCGCTATAGAAAAATACTGAACCTTCAAACAAAAAATAAATCACGAAAATACATTTTTATAGTAAAATTACTAGCAATACATTTCTATATAAAAAGAAATTACATTAATACCTATTTATAGTAAAATTATCAACAACACATGTGTAAAGCAATATAACCATAATACATTTTATCTCTTTATACTTTTTATCTATTTTATACTTTAAATCTGATTCGGGTTATAAGTCCAATTCCGACCAAAAGACTATTTTGGGCCCAAAATCCAATTCAGGCCTAAAGTCCAATTTGGAACGAAAGTCCAATTTGGGCCAAAAACCCCATTTGTGCCGAAATTCCAATTTGGGTCGAAAATAGAGTTTTTCAAATAACAAATTTCGTGGACTTTCAATTGAGTTCTTCAAATCACAATCTCAGTATGCACTTCGAAACTTTAAATCTGATTCGTTGAAAGTGTAATAATTCGAATTGGAAAATTCGTAAACTTAAGGAATCAGCACATATGCTAGGCCACAAAAATCTCCTGAGCCGACCAAGCATAGAAATTAATACAATATGGGAAACAGTAATAAGGTGTGCCAGTTAGTTAGATCCAATGACAAGACCCAAAGAGTGTGAGTTCAATACCCGGTTAAGGCAGTGGAGAACTTTCAGAGGGAAATTAACAGGCGATTACTGATAACTGACATCCATTAAACATAGCACCCCAGTTCGACATTCCAACCACCTGAAGAAGGCCGGAGCGTACAACGGTCGAAAGGTTGTAATAAATATGGCGACAAAGATTAGGACAATAGTCCGAATAATGTAAATAGTGTAATAATTTCTTTTTTTACAAATATGGCAATTGGAAGTAAATGGTGCCTGATTGGAGATACTCATTACTAATAACTGTTATTTTCTCCTCTCCGTCTTCATAGAATGAATATTACAATAAAAAAATCGTTGATTTGATAGATTCATTTGGAGTTTATTTACATCCAGAAAATATTTGTTAGATTTAAAGATTATTTAAAGAAGATAATAGTCATTTAGTGATACAATCCTTACTAATTAACCCATAGATGGGAGAGACTAGGAGAATTCATGTCTTTCCTAGAGGTATATGCATGAAGGGAATATAACGAATCTAACTGAAATTAGAAACCGGCTCTTCGATTCCGAATCCCGAGCCATTATTCATTATACTACACCCACATCCAAGCTTACAACGCCTGGTATTCTCAAGAGATCACCTATCTATGTACTGACCAGGCTCAACGTTGCTTAACCACTTTAGCCCTGACAACGACTTTACCTGTGGTAGAGAAAAATGACCTAATGCCCAGCCACCGGTTGAACGGCGGGTAAACACTTATAACTATTTTTTATTTCAACCACGAAATCTTATATGCCAATTACTTGCAAATTTTGACTCATAAACTCAGGCAGAAGGGTTAAAATATGTCCGAGAAAGCAGGCTTCAAAGGGTTAACTTCGTTGATGTTACGGCAACCGGTGTTTTATCGTGATATGGCCGTAAGACCATTACGTCATCTGCACATCCAATCTTACTGCACCTGATATTCCCAAGTGGTTACTCATCGAGGTACTAACCAGGCTCGACGTTCCCTTAACTTCGGTAATTGTATGAGAACCGTTGTTTCAACGTGATATCGCTGTAAGCCTCAAACCAATTTGTTCTTTTATATATAATATAAGAAGCTATATAATTAGTGGTTTTAGTGAGTTTCAGGAAACCAGTCACTGTGAGACTTGAACCTGTATCTAAAGATTATTTTTTCCCTCTCTCTCGAAAGAGATTTTGTCATTCATGTCACAATGGCTGAAACGGCCATGATTCATAATAAAAAAGAAAAAAACTTTTAAAAAAGAAGTTTACTTTTTCTATAGACATCTTTTTTCGGTTTTACGTGAAGTTAATTAATGACTGAAAAAAACATCAAATAAAACATTCAATATTGAAGTTTTGTAATTTTTTAAAAACAAAAAAAACATCAGATTTTCTGTTTTCACTTCACAGACAGAATTAGATAAAGCAAACGGTGAAAGATAAAAATATTTAACGACATTTAAAAACATACTCAGATATTCAAAAGATTTATTTTTTGGGGGCGCCTGTTAGTTTGGGGGAAAATGTGATAAAACATTTCCTTTTAGGTTCCGTTATTTGGTCACCTTCTTCTGTGCAATTTGCAAATGAAATTTTACCATTGTGAAATTATTGCCGTTTATTTTGATACGTTAACTTTTACCATCCCTTTTAAAGTAAACAATTGAATTGAGTAATATATATATATATATATATATATATATATATATATATATATATATATAATTGAATTGTATAATATATATATATATATATATATATATATGTTTGACCAACACAAGGAATGTTAAAAGATTCATGTTAAAAAGATAAAAAAAAAAAAAACAAATGAAAACTACAGACAAAACATCATTTTCTCCATCGAGACATTCATTTCTGTAGTTCACTGCTACCAGCAAACAGAAATATTTCTCCTCCCGATGATGGCCATTTCGGTCGAAACTAGTCGAGGAATCTAAATGGAATAATAATAAAAAAAAAAAAAGAATATTAATCTACTACCCAGTGTGTCTAAAGATTTTAATTTTTAATTTTTAATTTTCTTATTTTCAAAATATATATATATATATATATATATATATATAGTCAAAACCTAGAGAGCCAGACACACCTAGGTTGTCTGTCTCTCTAGGTTTGACTAGGTCTTCTACTTTTTGTATTGAGCGCTGTTATAGTTAGCTGATTATTCGTACCGGGTTTTTCTTTTCTTAGGGCGTTGGACGATGATTTTCGACGGACGTCCATGTTCTTAACTCTTTCTCTTTTTAAAACCTTTTTTCAAAAACGAAATTGATTTGGTTTTCGAGACAGTGTGTAACACACACACACACACACATATATATATATATATATATATATATATATATATATATATATGAAAGGGAAAAATTAACACATCATCGAAGAATTCGATAATAAATTTATTTCGACAGATAAATTTTAATATCTGCCTTTATCATTACAAAATGGTTTAAAAATTAATTCAGGCAATTAAAATCTTAAAAGTTATTTTAAAACTAAATCACAACTTTTTCTAAATTTGATTTGGATTTATAATTACGACCTTATATTTTTTTATTTAAACAAAAATTGTCGACATGTAGATTTGTGGTTTGTCTATTGTTTCAAAGACGTTGTTTTCAACATATGAAATATAAAAATTATATGGTAGGATTTAATGGGTTTCCCATACTGATTCCATGAGTTTGGATGTCATATATATATATATATATATATATATATATATATATATATATATATATATATATATATATATATATATATATATATATATATATATATATATATATATATATATATATATATATATATATATATATATATATATATTGTTGCATATATATAAATATATATATATATATATATACATATATATATATACACAAATTGTGCATATATATAAATATATATATATATATATATATATATATATATATAAAAGATTGCTTATAAATATATGAATATATTTAATTGTATATATATATGTATATATATATATATATATTAATATATATCCATATACATTTTGTATATATATATATATATATATATATATATATATATATATATATATAGAGAGAGATGTGTGTGTGTGTATATATATATATAAATTGTATAAACTAAATATATAGATATATGTATATACAAAAATCGTATATATATATATATGCATATATGCATATATACATAATTTTATATATATGTGTGTGTGTGTTTTTGTGTGCGCGCGTGTGTGTGTATAAAAGAAAAATGACAACAAGAAAACTGTAGTTTTAGCTGACGCGTTTCGTCCGATGTGGACATTTTTCAAAGCCAAAACGAAACGAATTTATTGAAATAAAGTATCTATAAACAACAAACAAAATGTCGTTAGCAACTAGGAGAATTTACAACCGCTATTCTATATTCATTTGGTCCACTGAAAAATTACATCAATTACTTTGTTTGAAGAGAATATTTTCACATTTAGAAATATTGTTTGCGTGATTGTGTTGACGGATTCCACGGTTTTTTTTTTTTTTTTTTTTTATGAGTGTCGCATTTATAAAATCAAAATTTAGGTTGAATTTATTTCTATGTACGACGAGTGCATTTGTTAAACTGTTATTTATGGTGCCTATGTGTTTTGTTATGGTCTTTTTTTTCCTTTTATACATATAATCTTTTTCCACTGACATAACTCTTCTGAAATTTTATCAAAATTTTAACAAACACACACACACACACACACACACACACACACACGTCCACCTGACAAACGATTAACCTGTGGCCAACGGCCCCAAATAAAAAATAAACTGTGCAACTATCAAATTATGGAAACAAACTAAAAACCTAAGCAATTCTACTACACACACACACAGTTCACACACAACACAAACACACAAAGAACACACACACACACAAGGACAATGCACACACAGAGAAACGATTATATATTATAATTCAGCATAGACAAACTAAGACTATAACGCTCAATAATGCTGGATATTTCCCCGCTAAAATAACCGTTAGAACTAATAAATATAAGCATACATAATTAGAAACTGTCCACCCGCCAAAATAACAGAATAGACTAAGGCAAGCAATCTAAACATTGAACGAATAAATAGCTTTAATTATCTTCCCAGACCAAAACAAACTATTAAATAAGCGACCTAAGCAATTCCTCCCCCACAAACTTTTTTTCACTACGTTAATAAAACATCAAAAAACAAAAAGAATAAATAATACAAAAGGAAAATGTAAAACAATAAAATAAATTAACCCAAATAAATAAAAAACAAGCCACCCCCGCAAAAATAAAGGCCAGAATAGATTACCCACAATGCATCACCGACCCATGTATATAAATAGTTAAGGAAATATTCAGCATTCACGGCCTGACGATTGCGTCCAGCATGAAACAGCCTGTCACCTCTGAGGGTTTATTTCAATGTTCACTTTTATATTTATATTTACATACGCTCTATCTCTGGTATTGAGCACTTTATCCCGAAAATATAGCACACCTTAAAACTATATTTCTTCATATATATATATATATATATATATATATGTGTGTGGGGGGGTGCTTGTGCTTAATGTATTGTTAATCTCTGCATATAATTTACTGAAGGACATTCAGAAGGATACATTTCCCTAAAATATAAAAAGCATTTACACTGCGCACGTGTAAAATTCAAAATGACACGTGTTCATTTTTGTGTATAGTGTAACCCAACAATATAACTCATAGTGTAGGCAAAATTGTCCTGTTAGAGACGAAATTTTAAATATATATATATATATATATATATATATATATATATATATATATATATATATATAATAAAGCTCCATGGTTATATTTTATTACATTGGAATCGTAATTACGATCCAATTCATCAGAACTACAAATTCAAAAAGAAATCAGAAAAAATAAGTCCGGGAATAAAAAATAAAATTTAGTGAGAGTGTATGTATAAGAGTGGGGGACGAATGTGGGAGGTAAATGAAAGCTCTAGAGAGGGGTAACGGACGAGAGAAAAACAGAAAGGGCTAAAAGTGAAGGTGGGGATTAAAATTTAACAGAGAGAAGTTTTAAAGAGAGGAGTTAAAGGACGGATTAAATGAGTGAGATACAAATAAATATGAATTATTTTCCGATGCATAATTCATTACTGAATTGCTGACCTAAATTAAATTAAAAACCGACACCGGGAACGGGTGTAAACATTTGTGGTGACACTACGCACAATAAAAGACAATATAATCTAAACTTAAAAATCAGAAAATGAGAGAGAGAGAGAAAAGAAAAAAAAAATATATATATATTTATATATATATGCAAAGATCAAAAGAACTTCCTGAAGCTTTAAAAATGACATAGTTTAAATCTATAATGATGGAAAAGGCTACAAAATGCTGTCAAAATGACGGTATCCCAATGAAGAAGTGACAGTCCGCAAAAAATAACAGCAAAGCAAGTAGAAATCTGTTTTGGCAAGCCCAGGCAAATACTGCTCCGTCCTGTGCGGTTGTATAATGCTCCCTGGCTAATGTCGGAATCAATGTCCATACATCTACAGTGCGATGAAATTAAACAATTTCGATCTTCGTGGCAGAATGCGTAGAAAATGCTTACGAAATAGCATTATCATGCTCGCCTCAACTAAGCGAAAGTTCATATTAATAAGAAAGAAACAGAATTTATGCTCAGATGAAGCCAAATTTCTTGGGAGGAACAATAAGTTATATATCTGGTGAGCTTCTAATACGGCTTTTGAAGAAAAGAACTCAATTCCAACCATTAAACATGGCGGTGACAGCATTATGATTTGCGGTTGCTTTGTTGCAGTTGTAAAAGACAAAATAGCATGCATTAATGGCACAATGGACGCTGCAAGATACCAAGCAATTTTGAAGGAAAGTCTTTTGTCCTCAATTCAAATGTTGGGTCTAGGTCAGGGTTGGAAGTTTCAACAGGACATTTGTCTGAAGCCTCAAGGCAAATCCACGAAAGAATGGCTTCGTAAAAAGAGATTTCA